TTGTCCATCGCCGACTCAAAGGCCAATATATGCCACTCACGGTACTTCGCCGAGTTCACGCGGACATATCCCTCATTGGCCAGTACTCCATGTGGCTGCCATTTTATCACATAAAAGTGAGGTGGGCACCAGACTGACGTCTGTCGTACGTTCGTAATCAGGACATGGGTTGGTCTTCCTCGGCGATTTAAAACAACCGTCGGAATCCAACCCTTCGTCCGTCGCACCCACAAGTCATGCGTCGACTCACTGGGTTGTCGCCTGGGCAATTTGAACTCAGCGGTCATTCGACTTTCGATCGTCAACCCGTCTGGTGGCCCGCATGGGACATTTGGTCCGAACTCGGTCTTGGTCGGTGCATTACTTGATCGGATGAGTGGGATCACCATCTCATCGGGTAGCTTTACCGCCGAGTTGTACAGATCCAGACGGATTCCAGCTGGGATCATGAAGTCGGTGCCGAGAATCAAATCGACTCCGGCATGATGAGGCATTATCCATACTTCAAGCTCGTATGCCACTTCCCAGCCCGAGTGTCACCTTCACCACTGCTCTTGACGTTGTCACCATCCTGTCTTTACTTATTCCTTGTATGTCAATTCGCTTATCTCGGCTGGCCACTCTCTTGAGACGCAGTTTCCTCGCGAAGTACTCACTGATCGCCGAGACATTTGCTCCGGTATCCAATAATATCTTGGTCCTTCGGTCGTTCACTGCACCCAATACGAGGGCTCTCATTCTAACTCGGCGATCAAACGTCTGTGCTGACCACCATCCCAGCCGCTCTCCCGGAAGCAGCTTCATTATCCTGGTACGATGCACAGCCTGGTCTGACTGCCAAGTTACACTTGCAATCGCTCGGTTGTTATCATCTAACTCACCGAGCTCACGTTCAATTCCGTCGATTTCACACATCCAATTGCCATCCCCGCTTCTTCCCTCGGGCCGTCCTGCTTCGCCTACGAAGGCAAACAAGAAGTTCGCCTCAACTGCAGGTTCAGCTGACTGTGGCAGCCCGGCATATTCCAACCCAGTCAGTGTTGGCGGGCCGCCGAGTTTAAATCACTCGGCGCGTAAAGGTTTTGCAGGTCTTCTGGCACTTGCGACTTGTCGACAGAGTTCTTCACGAACGCAGCCAGCTTCTCATATTGACGGAACAGCTCACACTGGCCGCCTTCATGGACTTGTCTGCAGAATTTGCAGCGTCGTCGACAGTAGTGAGCCGAGTGCCCCATTCTTCCACAAGCTGCACAAGGTCCTCGTTGGGTGTTGTCGCGTGATCCATCTCCACGATTCGACTGTTCTCGTTGGTTGTACGGTCGCGGAGGTCGGTTCGCTGAGTTTCCCCAGCTTCGGTTCGAGCCTTTCTGGTCTCCCGCCGAGTTCTCTTGGCGGTCCGGTGTATTTCCCTTATCATTGGAAACGCCGGCGTCAATGTAGTCGTCGTCTTCCGCTGAGTCGTGTCCTCCGGACTGGTACTCATCATCCCATTCGTCTTCGGAGTTGTACGGACTCGGCGGGTTCTGATCGATGAGTTCCTCTCCGTCGGAGTCAGCGTCAACGACAGTGACTCGGCGGTCGCGGTTTTCTTCCTTGGGACTGCGCTTCTCATTTCGGCGGCTCTGATCCTTCCGCTTGTCATCTCGGCTTCGTGCGGTCACGAGTCGGTCGCGTTGCTTCTTACGCTTCTCGCCGAGGATCCGACGATTGATTATCTGTTCCACCTTACTGATGTCTTCCAACTGCAAGGGGTACATTAAATCCATCACATCGTCATCACCACAATGCAGCAAGAAGTGTTCGACATGGTCAGCTGCGTCGGCGCCACCCTTCTCGTACTGGATCTTGGCTGTCCGAGCGTACCCGTTGAGTCGGATCAGGAAGTCGCAGATCGGTTCGTTGACTTTACGTCTCGCCGAGTAGTAACGAGTGCGGGCGGATTGGTCGAACTGTGAGCAGTAATAATCCAGGAACGCCTCGCTGAGTAGTTTCCAACGTCGCTGAGACTTCTTCGGCAGCTGCCTGTACCAACTCTTCGCCGCGCGTCCCAAGCATAGCGAGAAAGGCTCGCACCATGCACTTTGGGGCATCCTGGTGCTCTTCATCTCGTAGATGAACCGCTTGAGCCACTGGAGCGACGCGTCAGAGCGGTAGCGCTTTCCTTCGAACACGGCGATTTTGTCGAGCGAGGCGTGGGTTCGGACTTCTAGGTACTGCGTCGAGTCTTCTTCAGCCCCGTCAAAGCTCAAGTTTCGAATGTAGTCCTTCACGGTTTCTTCACGGTTACCTCTCACGTCGAAGGCGTCGCCGTCTTCTTCATCCTCCTCGTAAGCCTCAGCCTCATCTGCAGCGGCATACCATTTCACGATACCGACCTAACATTTCCGCTGCCCACGACTCGGCCGCTCCGCTGAGTCGGGTTTTAGCTTTAATTGGAGTCAGGCATGTTAAGAGGCTTCGAAGTACGGAGTCCTTTGCCGTAGCGCGGAAACACATTCAC